TCTGAGAGTTTTAAACTGTTAAACTGACTTTCTTCTGTGGAACACAAATGAAGAAATTCTGCAGAAAGTGTTAGTCATTTTTTCATGCAGTTATAATTAATGTTGACTGAACCTTTTATGTTTCAAATACAATACTGCCATATAAGTATCATAAAAGTAAATGACTCGTGTCCTGCATTACAACTTTTCTGAATTTATATGATAGCTTTGTGTGAGGAACAAACTGAAATTAAAATTGTTATAACCTTTCCATTCAAGTGAGCTGTTATAATTTTGAGATAAAAGACATATTAAGTCATAATTATGAGATGAGAAGTCATAATTATGACAATTTAATGATACATTTAAACTTTTATGCTTATACTTTTTGTATCAGAATTTTGAGTTTTTCATAACTATGACTGTTTACCTCATAATTTTGATTATAATTTGTCATAATTTCTTTTTATCTAATAATTTTGATTTGTTTTATGTCATAATTATGATTTATCAAAGCATGATTTTGTTTTATCTTATGTGGTGTAAATGGGATTTCATATGAGATGAGAAGTCATAATTATGACAATTTAATGATAAATTTAAACTTTTATGCTTATACTTTTTGTATCAGAATTTTGAGTTTTTCATAACTATGACTGTTTACCTCATAATTTTGACTTTTTTTGTCATAATTATTAATTTGTCATAATTTCTTTTTATCTAATAATTTTGATTTGTTTTATGTCATAATTATGATTTATCAAAGCATGATTTTGTTTTATCTTATGTGGTGTAAATGGGATTTCATAGATTTTGTTTTGTTCATCACATAAAGCTTCATAAGACAATATGGGCTTTTTAATGATCATTTTATGGTGTTATTGCATCCTTTTGAAGCTGCTAGTTATCATGATTGGATGGAAAAAAATACCAATGTTCTTCAAAATGTATTTTTTCATGTTTGATGGAAGAAAAAAAGTAATATGAATTTGGAATAGCCTAACATAATTTTAAATTGTGAGAAGGGGCCATTCACACAGTGAAAACACGAGATGTGGGCAATGGAATGGAGGTAAAAACAACGCCTCAAGGCATGTTCTTTTAAAAGTTTAACTTCTTTTAACTTTTCTAACTTTTTTAACTTAAGTAACACGATTTTATAGTGCTGTGTCATGCGTGAGACACTGTAAAAGACATGAGACGCAAGCGCAACAAGTCAAAGATGTCAAACTAGTGCATGTTTATAAAACTATGGAAAAGTAGTGCAGTAGAATGGATAAACATTATTCTGTGTGAACGACCCCAAAGCGCTTAACAAACATACATTGCCATGGCATTTCTGAGACAGTGTGTCAACCGACCAGTGATATCTCAATATAAAAATTCTGAAACCAAACAGCCCATGTCCTATCTCTTTTATGATGTAGTGGTTATATGTGCTTTCAGAGCACATATATGCTGACCTGCTAAAGTCACCATCATTTTCAGTGTGCTTTTACCTATGTACTTACTCACCACTTTTTCATCCTATTTTACCTGTCAGTGTAGAGAATTCCTGAGCAAACCAAATGGATCCATCACTGTAGTTGCACTGACTGACGTTTGGCAATTGTTTCAGACAGATGTGAAACCTACAAGACAGAAAGTTTTAACTGTTATAGTAGGATTTATAGTACTACTCTCCCCAATTTGAAAGTGACCACCCACAAATAACAAGAAATATAATTTAAACACTTTCCAAAGCTTGAACTGCCCTTAAAGCTTTTTTAATGCTTGGTCTGAACCTGATTATGATCCACCTCCCTCCCACTGCCTCTGCAATTCATTCGGAAACAAACAGCTATGAAAAATGTATTATGCTATAATTGTGACATAAAGCATGCAAAAACGCAAATTATATGTTAGGATGGATTATAAATTGGGATGAATTTCTTTCATACTAATTGCTAACTGTGCCAGAGTTCTTGAATAAATCAAACACTAGACGAGGGGTTTTAAAAACTTTTTATGCCACAGACCTTCAAATATAAATATCCTGTAAAAAATATAAAGCATTTTCATGTATTAATACTGTGAAAAATATAATATCTAGAAATATTTATTTTCTATTAAGTTTATTTTTGTTTTGTTTTTTCTTCTTTCAGGATAATAATAATAATAATAGAATTGTGATCATCATCATTTTTAAAGTATCATTTTTGACACTATTTTTCTCCTAACTGTTTCGAGGAGCCCCTAGCACCCTGTTACAGCCCCATGGGGGTCCCTGGACCCCTCTTTGAAAATCGCTTCCCTTGACAACTCTTTTAAATGGGCTTGGATGTGGTTTGCTATGGCACAGACAAGCCTGGAAAACCGCTTTCACAATAACCAAATGAACCGAACTTTGACATCAACTCTTGTCGGCACCAAAAGCTCTGATGTGAAAGCGCCCTGATTGCTGCATTACCTGCATTACTTAAACAGTAAATCTGTTTAAGTGTGTTGTAGTTAAAACTTTGGAGGCAGAAGGCAGATTATCAGAATTCTCTCTTTGTGCTGCATCTCACGTACTTCATATTAAATATGAATATGAAAACAAACAAAAAAATAATTAAAGATTTTTTGGCCGGTCCATATGCCAGTTAGAGAAACCGTGTCGCTCATGAGGTTTGGCTGTTTGACATTTATGGGCCAGTATGGCATGATGCCTATTAGAAGTGAACAGTGAGTCATGCCAATCCACATTCACAGTCCTGAAATGCATAAGAATTCATGAAAGTCATGAAAGGATTTGTCCTCTTCTGTTCACTGACAGATCAGACCATATTTATAGTTAATTATGAAAAAGTGTACATTCAGAATTTGCCAGTTTATGTACCATTTTCTGTGACGATCTAAAAGAATGTGTCTTGAAAGTGAAGTAAACAAAAATAAATATTCTATTCTGTAATATGGGTCTTAGATGATTTATATGAAGCCTTTGAACTTTCAAATTCAATGTTTCTACATTTAATCAATGCAGTTTGAGCTTATTGTACATACCTAATATGTAATCAATAAAGAGTAGAGATTCAAGCTGCAGCACTAACAAGTGATGTCAAGGTGATATATCCTCAGACTCTTGGCGTAGAGTTCCCACTTCAAAAGCTTGCTCAGCCGTGCTAATATTGAGATATCACTGATGCTGTAAACCTGGAGTTTGCTGCACTGTTGAATTGGCGCCAGAGTTCACAAGTTCACCTGTCTCTTCCTGAGTTTTTTTGGTATTGGAATATTGGTATTGGTATTGGAATAAGGGCTCTTCTGCAGCTGAAGTCTTCATATGCTGTGAACTGGTTAGTTGCAGACACTTTTATCCTAAGTGACGTAATACAACGTTGCAAACGAGTAAACTGTTTAGCATTTTATGAGGTTTCTACATGTAGCAAGACAACAGGAAGTGTACATAGTGACCAATTAAATTAACTAAATGTAGTTGAGTAAGAATAAAAAAGTTCTTCTGATTGCTTTGATTAACCACAGAAAAAAAGGACTTGATGAACATGGGTTAACACAACTTTTTTTTTTTTTTTTTTAGCTGCTGGGTTACTAAGAACTGAAGCACCATGATAACAAGTTTCAGTTAGTTTAATCTTCTCACACACACACACACACACA